AGTGTTTGTGACTAATTATTTAGTTGACTGTGGCCAATAAATTGGTTAAATCGGGCAAAACGATTCGCTTTGTGACTAGACGCTTCTTTTCAATGCTGAATAGCTGAAATTTTTTCCATCCTCTCGTTCGTTGTAACTAGGTACGTTTTATTAGTTTTTTATTTTTCCCTTTTTTCTGAGTCTTGTATTGTACTTCAGTTTATTATTATTTTGTTTAAAAAAATTCTTTTGAATTTAATTCCAAGTTTTTAAAAGATATTATCTGTACAAAATTTAAAAATGACTTTATCTAAATAGTTAAATAAGATTTATGTTACGGTGCTATCTACATTATGTCATTAGGATTTTGAGACTCTTTATTTTGTTGAAAACTTCAAAAACATATATGAAATACCTATAAATTTATTAAATAGGATTTGTCTAAATGAAAATTGAAATTATAAAAAATAGTCAATTGTCCGAAGCAATGGCCAAGAAGTTGGACGGAAAAAGATGCTCGTCTATTATGAAAGGAAATCTGGTAATAACAATAAAGGAATGAAGACTAACTGGATAATGCATGAGTTTACGATTCATCACATGAAGGACGTGGCATGTTCTTCCACAAATGCAATTCCAGATGACAAGACGGTATGTAAAAGTTTTCATATTATTTGGTCAATTAATGGCGTTCGTTTAATATTGTTGTTTGGATAATTGCTTGAAACCCCATATAGGGTTCTTTAATTGATAATTGATGGTACGTAAAACATTTAAGTTTCTTTTTTTGTTTTTCTTTAATTGATAATTGACAAGTTTGTTAAAAAAAACTCAAACCCATCAAGCAATTCATAAATTTTGATATTTTTGTAACACGAATTTCTTTCATATTTTTGCTGTTGGACAAGTGCATATGTAGAATTTACCATAGAACATCAAAATCAAGCAAAAACGTAGAGCAAGAGACACGAAGAAACATGATCCCAGTTCAAGAAACTCATGTCCCTGGTGCAAATTTGGCAGCAACGTCGTCTTATCATTATTGTAATCATGTACCGGCACTTGATCAGTTGTATCATGTACCATCATAGCCTAATAGGAAATTTTTTTTACCTTTCTTCAAATAATATTGGTCAACTTTTTCGTTGTATCATAGTTAGCATATGAATAAACTAAAAATTACACAAATATCCATCAGTTATTAATATTGAAAATACTCTTTCAAAACAAATATTGAAAAATGCTAAATTACTCACTTTAATGTTTGCATGCAAGGAACAATTTCTATCTCAAGTAACAACAAAATTTAATTGATAGATTGGTGCTCATACACCATCCACAAATTGAACAATCCAATGCGGATATTTAATACATCTGCAACATTACATAATCGACAGTTTAAATTCTTAGAAAAATTGCAAAAAATGGCATTCTTTTCTTGATCGAAGATTTTAACATTTTGTCCTCAAATGTAGATCTGGCACCTGCGCAACCAAATTTACTCACACCATTCTATTGGAGGAGAAGGTAAATAAAAGTCCTCAGTGGAAGCTGCAAAATTATTTGTCCCCAAGCCACGCACAACGCAATGTGTTTGTGTAATTGATTGACCAGGTGGAATTGGCGAAGACTCTAATTGGGCATTGGACGAATCGGCTAAAAGAGAATCCATTATATTATCATCCAATGGCGACAAAAAACCAAATAGAGGCGAAAAATATGGAATGGTGAAATCCAAGTCATCACCATAATCACGATGCCGATACTGATCATTGCTTTGCGTACCAGTCTCAGGTTGAGTAACATTGCATTGATCACCAGGAATGTTTGCAAGAGGTTGAGGAGATGGAAGAATATTACTCTTAATTGCAACTTCGCCATGCATGTACGTAAGTGGTTCATGAACCAACTGATATTGATCATAAATTCTTCCTTGTTGGTCGGGAAGATAAGCACCATGCAAGGACAACTGATCAAGTGCCGGTACATGATTATGATAATGATAAGACGACGCTGCTGCCAAATTTGCACCAGGGACATGAGTTTCTTGAACTGGGATCATGTTTCTTTGTGTCTCTTGCTCTATGTTTTCGCTCGATTTTGATGTTCTATAGTAAATTCTACATATGCACTTGTCCAACTGCAAAAATATGAAAGAAATTTGTCTTACAAAAAATATCAAAATTTATGAATTGTTTGATGGGTTTAAAAAAAAAGGTCTAAAATTATTGGTTAAAATTTCAATTCATTCCTAACATCAGTAATATATATGACTGATCGGTTAATGAAAAGTTATAAAGAAAACAAAAAAAAGGGAAAAAGAAACTTAAGGGTTTTACGTACCATCAATTATCAATTAAAGAACCCTATATGGGGTTTCAAGCAATTATCCTAACAACAATAATAAACGAACGCAATTAATTGACCAAATAATACGAAAAATTTTACATACCGTCTTGTCATCTGGAATTGCATTTCTGGAAGAACATGCCACGTCCTTCATCTGATGAATCGTAAACTCATGCATTATCCAGTTAGTCTTCGTTCCTTTATTGTTATTATCAGATTTCCTTTCATAATAGACGAGCACCTTTTTCCGTCCAACTTCTTGGCCATTGCTTCGGACAATGATGTCGCCTCCGGTGGCTTTCCAGTAGCCATCAGCTGTTGTTCGGTCTGGCCGACCACCTTTATGATACTTCCAGTGGCGAATCCAAGATTTTAATTGAGCACGGGCGGCCGTTAACTGTCGACGGTCGCAATAATAACCAATGCCGTGAGTTGAAATTACTTAGCCCCGTTTGGCCCCCATTATTTGGATTTATAATGGGGAAATAATGTTTTTCTAAAAAAATTTAAAAATTGATAGTTGTAAAAGAATGAAAAGTTTTTGATTTACGTGTAATATTATTTTATTGAAGATTGTGTGGTTGAAAATAGGAAAGAAAAATTTTTAATTTAAATTGATAAGTTTTAAAGGGGGTCAAACTAGGGCTTATATTGTAGTTCGAATTATAAGTGTGAGTGTACGTTATCTACCATTGTAATAATGTTTATTGCGTAACAATTTGAAATTTGAAAATTTGTCCAATTATTTACTTTCTTGGTTCGATCCGCTAATAATTTCAGTTTAATAGAAAAAAAAGTGACTATTTTAATAATCTTAGCATGGTTGAATTTTTTTTTCTACAAAGGAGGGCGTATATCATTGGGATAAAAGAATAAATAGAATTTTGTTGCTTGCATTGTCAACATCCAATAACTGCCATAGTGGTCAAATTGTCCATTATTCTAATGGAGATCACAGGTTCGATTCTTCCTCTTACACCAATTTTAATGCCTATTTGCTCCAAAATGGCGAAAAATATTATACTAAAGTCATTACAAAAAGGAATTGCAACTGCAACAATTGAGAATCGAACCCCAGACACCCCTTTCACCACTGTGGTGCCCTAACCAGCTGAGCAACAAGGACTTGGTGTGAATCAAAGGAAATCACAGAAATATATCTAAATAAATAAATACTTGACAGCAAAAAAAATTGAGCTCCGGCGATCCAGCACGGGCGGCCGCGGGGGCTCGCCGGGTGCTGGATCCACCGGTGGATACTTCCTAGTTCTAGAAGTAAAAAAGTAGCCCTCATGTGTTCCATTCGTCCCGCTTTCTGACAATCGCATTAATAAATTCCAAAGAACGTAAATATAAATGATAACCGATGAAGATAATATTAAAAGAACCATCAAGAAACAATGAGAAATAAAGAAACTTACGGCAAAGATCGTTGGGATGGTACTTGTAGAGATCAACATCTTTTATGGCATCAATCGATATATGTCTATTCAGAATCCTGAGGTTCAAGTAGTGTAACAGTTCCTTGTAGGTCGGCTTGAATCGGTAACCGGGCGGAATATTTTCTTCAACATGAAAAGTAGAACCTTCTTGTGCGGCCATGACAACGTGTTTGCCTTTGTCAATTGTTTCTGGAAGTAATAGTAGAATTAAACGCAGAGATATTTTATTGATTAGGAGTACTATATATGGAGAGAGAGATTGATAGAGTTAGAAGAGGATTACTATTCTGATAGAGTTAGGTCAATGCACTTTCCATGCACAATCTCTGTTTATACGTACACAT